GCTGGTCTGTGAGAGGTTGAGGTGCGAGCCCTGGAGGCCCTGGGGATGGGGTGAGACTACCCGCGGGCCTAGAAGGCCCGCGCGCAGGGGGGTGGGACATTGAGACCGGTCATGAATGAGTGCGCGACACGCATGTTGCGAGCAGCGTTGTTGATGTTTTGCGCGTCGCCACAGACGGCGGCGCGCGAGAGCTGTTGCGAGTGGTGCTGGGCGAAGCCCCGGGCGCTGCCGGAGGCTGTGCCGTAGTCGGTGCGGTCGACGGCGCTCGGGCTGCCGACCTCTTTGGCGAAGTTGAAGATGATTCTCTTGGTCGGCGGCGCAATGCCGCCCTGGATTCGACGAGACAAATTTTGACGATTCCGTTCTTGACATGGAGCGCGTCGTAGTACTGTCCCTTGTGCTCTTTGACCCAGCCTTTGCCGGTTCGCATGGACGAGCGGGCCCTGTGACTTGTGGCCGCGCTCTTTGCACCCAAGAACCTTGAGCAAGGTTTGGTCGAGGGTGCCGCCGAAACCAAATTTGTGGCCCAGTGACGCACAGCATCCGCCGTGTGCCGCCGAGCCCTGCCCAGCCTGCCTCGTCTTTGTGAGGGCGCTAGGCACCTTGACTTCGTAGTGGACATCGCGCTGGGACTGCAGGTCCCCGCCGATCTCACACATGTCGGTGACGTGCCCCTCGTTGAGATGAAAAGTCGTCTGAGGGTTCGCCTTGTCACCGAGCACGAGCTTGCCGCAGGCTCGTGCACGGACCATGTTGGCCGGCGCATTCACAGACCCGCCCATCTCTCCTGGAGATGACTGCTCTATTTATTTATTATGAGAGGTTGCGGGTGCGAGCCCTGGCGAGGTAAGGCAAGGCAAGGTAGGTAAGGTAAACTTCTCCAGACTCCACACACACACGAGGTGATGCGCGTGGGTGAGCGGTGTGTGTGTGTGTGTGTGTGTGTGTGTGTGTGTGTGTGTGTGTGTGTGTGTGTGTGTGTGTGTGTGTGTGTGTGTGTGTGTGTGTGTGTGTGTGTGTGTGTGTGTGTGTTTGGGGGGGGGGGCACGTCACTCTGCATCGCTCTTGCCGAGGCCACGCGGCGCCCCCCCACAGCCAGCCTACCCTCCTATCGCGCCACTCGACGCCCCGCGGCCGCCTCTCGCCTACCGCGCTGCCCTCGCCGGCCGCCGCACCGCCCGCGCTCCAGCCTAACCAGCTTCTGCTCCAGCCTAACCAGCTCTGTGCTCCACTGCTCCAGCCCAACCAGCCCTGTGCCCCAGCCTAACCAGCAGCCTAACCAGCTCTGTGCTCCAGCCCAACCAGCTCTGTGCCCCAGCCTAACAAGCTCTCCAGCCTAACCAGACAGTGCTCCACCAGCTCTGTGCTACAGCTAACGAGCTCTGCATCTCGCAACACACTCATGACAGGGACAGACCAGGCGCAGGAAAAGGGAGCGGGGCCCGAATCCAAGGGACCACCCCGTCGGGCGGAAGAGCTGAGAACTCAGGTCCAGTAGGAAGGCTGCTGGCTCCTGACTCATCCCCCAAATCCCCCACCCCTCTGGCCTGAAACCTTACCATTCCACCACCTCGCACACACACCCCTCTCCTAGGGCTAAGCAGTGCGCGAGCTCACCCGACTTCAGGCGAGACGTCGACCATTCCTCGGGAATAGTTCTTTCAGTGGCTGCACTAGACGCCCTTAGAGGCGCGCGGCGCGGGCGGATGACTAGGGGAGAAAAAGCGGAGATCCTAGCTCGAGCGCTGGGGAGACGTGCGCAACCTAAAGTTGGGAATAGGGGGAGAAGTGTCAGTGTGAGGGGAGGGCGTACGCCGGCGTTTTTGCCTTTGAAAACTGAACAGTTTTTTTTACGTGCATGTGCGTGGAGGTTCATTACAAGACGGGAAAGGAAGCCCCCACAACCCAGTACGAGGACCCACCTCCCCGTATCGCGTACGTTACGTATGTCGACGCCCTGCGTCACCCCACTCTAGCCCCCAAACGCTAGCCTATGAATACAAGTGCCCTCCGACACGCCGCGTGGTACACCGGTAGCGCGCAAGCGTGGGCGCGCAAGCCGCCGCCCCCCGGTCATGGACAAAGTGAACACTGCATGCGCGCTGCCCCAGAGCGGAGCCGCGCACCCCGAGCACACCTCACTTCAGCCTCACTTGTCGAGGGCGTCTTCGGCGGGCGGCTGCCAGGTGAGCTTGGACGGGTCGCAGCGCAAAGAGGTGCCGGGCGGGTGGAGCTTGAGGTGCTCGTCGACAATCTTTGGCGAGACGGAGATGACGTGCTGCCCCTTCCAGTACTTGATCAGGTTGAGCGACTGGAGGGTCGAGATGATGTCGTCCG